TCGATTGTGGGAGAGAGTATGAGCGTGCAGCGTTTAAAGCGTGGAAGTACTGACCTTACTTTGAGTTTGATTCCATAAAAAGTGACAAAAACATTAGCGTCCATGGTGCGTGGGAAGAAAACTTCTTTTTACAGCGAAAAAAACCCCTAAGCTTCCAAGCAAGCACCGAGTGTGCAACGACGTAATGGGAAACTCACAAAGAAACTCGCGGATTCTTCAACTGACCGCGGCACACCTGCACCAGGGTAAACCTCCGCCTACCCTAGTCCTGCTTTACAGGTGAATATAGAGCAACAGGACCGCTAGTCTTTGATTTTATTTATTTTCTGCTGTGTTTTACTTGCATCTATTTGAAAGAGTGAGTGTAAACACAAAAAATATTTTATTTTATGTGCTGGAATGTGCAGAAAATAGGTTTAAATGTTAAACTCATTTATTCAAGTCAGAATGTTGCATATAATTAAATTTTTGCTTGATGCATAAAGTTAAAAGATTAAAACTAATAAAATAAGTTTAAAAAAAAGATACTTTTCCATTTGATTACATTTTGTATGATGGATTATGCAGAAAAAGCAGAATTGGGCTGAAAGATCTATCACTTTATTACCTATTCAGGTTGTAAATCGTGTTTTTAAAAAGTAACTAAGTAACTAAGCAATTAATTACTTTTGAAAATAAGTAATCAGTAAAGTAACGGGATTACTTTTTTGGGGAAGTAATCAGTAATTAGTTACTGATTACTTTTTTCAAGTAACTTGACCAACACTGATGCCCAACATACTCATTTTTATTCCCCACACCAACAAATCTGAGCCACAGTATGACTGGTCAGAAAAAGGCACTATACCATGACACACCACAGAGTACTTTGCACCAGCATCTCATAAAATTGTGATGGGAATTTTGTCCCCCTTCTTCTCAGTCAGTGATAGAAAACCTTTAGAGATAAAAGGCTTGAAAACTGTGTGGCTGCGCCAGGGAACTTGAGGTGAACGTGCCCTCCCCATGCCAGGGGAAACAATGGTCAATGGTAACTTTATTGTCCCTAACGGGAAATTGATTTGTAGTATGTCCATACAAACAAACAAACAGACAACCAACACATCACATACACTCACCAAAATAATATAAGCCTGATAAAACAACCTAGATTTTTCATCAAAAAAGTGCAATGTGCAATGGCAACAACACTTATGGTTTAGTGTTATTAACTATGATAATAGCACTAGGTACAAAAGACAATCTATGTCTCTTTGTCTTCACTGCAGGCACTTTATAATGACGACCTGATGGAAGCAGTTGAAAATCATTAAAGAGAGGATGATCTGAACACAACAGGACAGAGGTTGCCTTCCTCAGCACCTGCCTGTTATAAAAGTCCACAAGCTGGACCTGAGACCTCCCTGAAATCTTGCCAGCCACTTTAACCAGGTTGTTAAGTCTGGTCTTATTATTCAGGGACATATTACCGTACCAAACAATGATACAGAAAGTTAAAACAGATTCAATAAAACTTTTATAAAAAAGAGTCATCATTTCAGATGAAACATTAGAACCTCTCAACCTCCTTAAAAAGTACAGTCCTTGTTTAACCTTTTTCACTGTAGCAGCAAGATGTGACTCAAAGGACAGAGACTTATCAAGAACAACCCCCAAATACTTATAACCTCCACCAGTTCAATGGCTGCACCATTTACCACTGTTAGCGCAGGATGGAGGGATGACTTCCTGAAGTCAATAACCGTGTCCTTAGTTTTCAAGGTGTTAATCATTAAGAAGGACTGATCACACCATGAAACAAACTCATCCACAACAGGCCCATGGGAATCCTCTTCACCATGAAGGAGGCTTACAATGACTGTGTCATCTGCGTATTTAATTAAATGCCTGTTGGCCTGTGTACTGCAACAGTCATTAGTGTACAAAATATACAGTAGAGGAGAGAGACAACAACCTTGTGGTGAGCCAGTAGAAGAGTTCAGCTGTTTGGAAAAACAACCGTTTACTCTCACACACTGAGATCTGTCAGTTAAAAAGGCTAAAATCCAACAACGAGATTAAAATCAAGTTTAAATTGGTTAAGAAGCTTATCAACTAAAAGATGTGTCTGAATAGTATTAAAAGCTGAAGAAAAATCAATAAATAAGACCCGAGCATGAGCTTTGGCGCCATCAAGATGGCGATAAAGGAAGTTCAACAGAGTGACCACTGCATCATCCACACCTCTGCGAGGCCTGTATGCAAATTGTAGTGGATCTATAAGCTTCTCTACTTGTTGCAGGATCTCCTTCCTGACAAGTTTTTCAAAGGACTTCATCACTAAGGATGTTAGAGCGACAGGCCTAAAATCATTTAATGATGTAGGTTTTGTGGTCTTAGCAACTGGAGAAATAATTGATTTTTTCCATACCTCTGGAACCTTCTGTTGCTGAAGAGATAAAAGAAAGATGTAATAAAAAATACTGCATAATTGCTCTGCACATGTTCTAAGCACCTGGCCACATATATTATCAGGACCTGGACTTTTATTAGTCTTACTCATTTTAAAAAGATTTCCCACCCTTCTTTCATCAAAGAACAAAGCTGGGGGGCCTCTGGTGCTCTCTATTAAGAAATCAAGCGTATTCCTTGGATTATAATTATCATTAAATCTCAAAAAAAAAATCTATTCAGCTCATTGGCTAACTGAGAGTCTGAACTAAAACCAGGGAGACTTATCTTATTACAGTCACTGTAACAGTGACCAGTCATGTGTTTCATGCCTGCCCAGGCCACCCTTAAGTTATTTTTTCCTCAGGCAAAAAAAATAAAATAAAATAAAGGAATAAAAGAATAAAATAAAAATAAGTTAAAACACTGACACTGACAGACAGAGACAACCTGCTGGTCGCCGCAAGAGCAGCGCCCTTCTTCAGGGCGCAATAGGGTCCTGACGTGTCAGAGATGAATAAACACTCTTGTGAGTCAGGGCAAATTCATCTGTCAAGACTGCAGCGTTTGCAAGAGACTCAACTTTTTGTTCATTTAAATAAATCACCACATGCTCCGGCAAACATTTATTAAAATCCTCCAAAAGCACTAGTTCCCTCAGCTGTGCAAAATCTTTGACTTTGCTAGCCTGACACTCTTTATCAAAAAGCACCCTTTCTCACACAAACTACACACACTTGGTTGTCCCTTTCCCCATAGTTTCGGAATTTCTGTCTGTATGCTTCAGGCACCAATTGACAAGCACACAATACTGTAGCCCTAACCACATCATGGTCTAAGCTTTGGTCCACTGAGAGGCTAGCACACTCCTCCTGAGCTTTACTCACAAGCCTACACTGCAGCAGCAAGGCCCAAACTTCCTTTTGCCATTTCAAAGCTTTAGCAAACACAGCAAAGTATGAATCCACCTCAGTTTCTCTAAAGGGTAGTAACAATTTAATGCGCAAATCAAAGCAATTATGGGGAGATAGGGGGAGCTTGCAGTTTGAGCGGTGACTGGATGGAGCTACTATGGTGGCGTTGCAGCTCTAAAGCTTTCACCCATAGATGCATTCCTTCCACCTCCAGCTCCCAGTTTCTCAACTCCACTTCCATAATGCAGAGCATTAGCTGGAGCTCCTCAGCTGACATCCCCATCATAGAACTGGGAGGAGCTAAAGGAGAAGTGTTTACAGGAGGACCCGTGGAAGGAGCTAGAGGCTCCACATCAGCTTTGCCTGCCCCATTTGCAACTGCCACATCTGCCAGCAGAACCCTCTCAACCAGTTACAAGCTATGTTGGATTCCTGGCAAACTTATCTAAATGAAACCCCATTGTGGCTAACCACACAATTCAAACAACCTTCACGTGGAACTTACACAAGCACAAACAACACAGAGAATGAACAATGTCACCCTTGGGTGTGAGGACCACAAACATACAGCATCATGACCTGGGTCATAACAGAGAATCAAGTGCACATCTGTCCATACTGGCCTGTGGTGAGTGTAATAGTTTTTACTGCTAAAACCAGCAAATCCCCAAATATAAGTCAGCAAAGGCAAACATTAGCATATCATCTTTATCTATCCACAGTCTATTTATTCATCTATTTATTCTAGCAAAGCTTATGGTAATTAGCTAAAGCACCAAGCTTGAGGTGGGATGCTGCACTGTGGTTAACGTGTTGCATTGCAAAACAGAGCTGTGAAGTGATGCATGACTGTCAAGTGTAACCCTTCTGATGAATGTTAAAAATAAACCCATTTGTATTATGGTAAATATTCTACATATAGCACTGGTGGTTATAGGCTGGTTTTCTTTTAATGTAACATGACAATTCCAGTAACCAGAGAAATATTTAAACTAGGTCAGGGGTGTCGAACTCCAGGCCTCGAGGGCCGGTGTCCTGCAGGTTTTAGATCTGACCCTGGTCATTACACCTGAGTTCATTACCAGGCCTCTGGAGAACTGCAAGGCAGCTTCTGATGCGAGTGAGCTTTATTAATATGGTAGGTGAAACAAACAGGAACGTAGCAGGTATGAAATAAAACCTAAGGATAACCTAAACTGGGGAAAACTAACCAAAAACAGCCTTGAAACCTGAAATGGAGGTGCAGGGAAACTACACAGGATGACACAGGGAAATAACACAGACGAACCAGCAACAAGCAGGAGAAAACACAGGGCTCATAAACACAAAGGGGCAATCAGGGAATGAGAAACAGGAGGGAGACACAGCTGGGATTAATAGGACATAATGAGACAAGGGGAAGAAAAACTAGACGCACTAAGATAGCAAATGGCCTCAGAACTAGAAGACCTTAATCAGAATAAAATCGAAAACATGGATAATAACAATGAAAAAAAACCACCGAGTCCTCAGACTCAGGGCTATGGCATGCATTTCAATTCAGTGGATCTTAAAAATAGAATTGAAACGTCGCAATCACTTCACACATGAAGGAAATAAATGTGACGACAAACAAAACTTGTCTGTATTTACTTGAGTGACAACAAGGTGAAAGATGGCATTGCGGTGGTCTTTGTGTTTGTTCTTCATGTGCATTTGCTTTAAAGGTATGGATAGTTCATATATTTAGCTGTAATTTTTAATTCTCACTTCTTTTATAGGCCTTTGTGTTTTTGTACAGACAAATTATGACAAGTGTTAGATGATCTGGTCTGTATTATTCCATGCTGCTGTCCTTCTTTCATTCTTTGTCTTATTCCTGTGCTTTATTTCATTGCATTTTACTCTGCACTTTATTACAGTTACCCCAACAGAAGCTTCATCTTGGAGCGCCACTGTGCCATCCTCAGTGAAAGGTCTTCTTGGCGCATGTGTGGTGATCCCCTGCTCTTATAACTACCCAGATCCACAAATCAGTACCACAAGCTTTACAGGCATTTGGTATAATAACAATAATCAAGTCATCTGTCATTCGGATAAGTCTCAAACTTCGGGTCAGTTTCGGAATAGGACAAAGCTGCTGGGAGACCTCAGCAAGAAGAACTGTTCTCTGATGATTGATGATCTTCAACAAAGTGATGTGGGGCCTTTATATTTCCGGATTGAAATTAAAGGTTATGACCAGTACTCCTACAAAAATAACAAAGTCTCTGTTTCAGTCAGTAAGTAAAATAAATATGGTTACCAGTAAAGTCTTGTGTTCTAGCTCTAATAGTTCTCTTTTTATTTCCAGTATTTTTACCATCATGTTGGACGTTTGACATTCAGCATTCCTGAGCATTTTAGTTTTAGTGAAACAGGCCTGATCTAAGTCTTTTATACTCATTTGAATATAAATATGAAGTAAATATTGTAGGGTCAGGTTGCAGTGCTCTGGAACATTTTACATTAATTTTTGCAGACTTGCATTAGTTGTTGAACTACTCATTCAAACCTTAGATGTAAAAATGTATTTGTGCAACTCATCAAATTATGATAATCAATCAAAATCAATGGCAATAGAAGTTATCATTATACTCCAACCATGTTATCAACTATCAATTCGCTTTGTTCTTTATAAATTGTTTATTGTAAAACTGCTCATCTTCTTCTTCTTTGTCAGTCAGATATTGAAAGTAATTATCACCTAGTTTATTTCTTATTTCATTCATCTTTAAGCTTGAAATCACACTCAAAACCCTTTACTGTGAACAGTTTATTAACTTGACCAAAATTTAAAGTTGCATAAAACATAAAATCAGCAGCTGTACTGTTTAAGTACATTTGTATTTCCATTACAGTATAAACTTACTGCCATGATGGAGTTCTGGTTTATGACCACAGTCTTTTTTGTTAACACAGGTCAACCTGTTTTCTCTGTGCAAGAGGTAAAGGAGGGTGAGAATGTGTCTGCATCCTGCTCTGTGTTTCACTCCTGCCCCACATATCCACCTTCTTTCATCTGGAGTCACTCTGGAGAGCAGCATGATCAAACACAGCAGCTTCATGAAGGCCAGTGGAATTCAACATCTACTCTGACCTTTCGCCCAAACCACTCTGATCACAACAAGCCTTTAAAATGCAACATAACATACCATCGAGGGCTGCACCTGGAAACATCTAAGATACTTCAAGTAAGATGTAAGTATACTGCAGATTTACCAGGGTATTAACCGCTGTAGCTAGTATCAAGCCTTTTTAAACTAAAATCTCCAAAAGTTGATTCTGCTCATCGGGACGCAATGCCCCAATCTTATAAGATTTCCCAATCTTACCTGCAGTCAGCTGAGACTGAAGAAGTCACTTGAATGAGTGACGAAACGTTTCTCCCACAAAACGCTACGTCCAGATGAACAGAATCAACTTTTGGAGATTCACTTACCTTGATGATTGAGCATGCATCAAGACATTTAAACGAAAACGTTATTTACAATCAAATTTTTAAAAAAAAGAAAAAAACATTAAAAATCTGGATTAAGACATGATAAAATAGAACAAAATAGGGGAAGGGAGCACAAATAAAGAAAGTTACAATTTGTTGTATGGTCACAGTAGACACAGTTGCCTCTCACCATGACTGAGTATGACAGCCCTCACACTACTCACCTGAAAACTTTATTCATGCTGCCAGTAAATGAAGTTCACTGGAGTTTTTTTGGGGGTTTTTTGTATTGAAAGGGAAAGTTGTGAAACATTGCCTTCTTACATACTATATTTCTTAATTATTAATTATTAATTAAAGTTGTCGGTTTTACAGGGGTTTTTTGGGTTGTTTTTTTTTTTATATATATACACACACACTAAAAAACTGTATGCCTGAAGTGCTTCAGTGATGCTAACCCTGTCAGCAGCTATGAGTGGCACAGTTAAACTGTCAGCTGTCACCAGACATGCCCTGTGCAGCTCATGTTATGTGTTACATTACGCGAGAGTAAATCCAAAAAGAAAATAGATTTTTTTATTTCATTCAAACATATATAATATATGCATGGCTATGTCTTAATATATGTCTAGTTCTCACAGATGGCCCTGACATCAAGCCTTCCTCAAAGTGCTCCTCCGAGGACGGCGTGGTAAAGTGTGAGTGCATCGTAGAGTCCGAGCCTCCCAGCATGGTCTATTTTATTCTTGGTGACAGAGTCATGCAAAGCAGCAAAGCAGAGAAAAATGGCTCTGTTACTATTGAGACTCTGCAGACAGACTTTGGGTCTTTCAGGTTTGTGCACTGCCTGGCAAACAACATGCTGGGATATGACAACATCTTGCTCTCTTTACCTGTTAATGGTAAGAAAGACTTAGGATGAATTGACCTCTCTATTTTTACATGACAAAAATACTTAACATGGTTTCTTTGTCAACAGACAACATGCAGAATATTCTTATCTCGACCGGAGCAGGTGTGATTTTGCTGATTATTTTGATAGGAAGTGGAGTGGGAGTTGTTAAAAAATGGTAAGTTGTCATGAACATAATCATTGCAGATAAACAAGTATGTCATGCATGCAGGAGAATCTGTAAATATTGCAACATGTATCAAATAATAGTCACAATCATGATTACAACTATATGAGCACCAGAACAATTTTTTTAGGTCCTGACAGCCTGTCTTTAATTTCAGAGGCTGTGAAAAGTGTCAGTTTCCTTTCTCATTTAATCAAAAACACTTTACTGCCAGTAGGGGGAGATCAAGAGACACAACAACCACTAACCTGAGCACCATGATGTCAGACAGACCTGTGGAGCTCCCTCATAGTGCCCCACCGAAAAGGTTTTAATTCTTCACTTCTGTTTGCAAACAAAGAAAAAAAATTGTAATCATAAATATAAGTTTAAAGATGTGTCACTTGTTTTAATAATAGCTTTTCTTTCTGCAGGAAAATGAGCCGTAAGGATATCCCTTCCCCTGACATGTACACCAATTATCCTGTCTATAGCAACGTATGGATAAGTAATGTTTTCTTCATTAGTTCATTCATATTTTGCATGCATTAAAAAGGGGAGTGAATTAATTTTGTTTCTCTGTGCAGACTGACTGGGATGAGTCAATATATGCCAATGTGTAGCGTGTGGAAGACCAGCTGGAGTCCATGTTTATGTCCTCTGATATACGAGTTAAGAATGAGTCAAGGTTTTTTTCCCAATCTCATTCAGTTTTCAATGTTTATCACTTATATCTGTCATATATAATTCACATTTTATTTGCAGAATACAATAAGTAAATATTAATGTCTAAAACTGTGATGATCTTGTGATTCCTGTCATAAACTGCAAAAAACTGGAACAAGGTTACTTCATCAGAATTCATGTTTTTGTATTTTTTTTTATTTTTTAAATACCTGTGAACAGTTCCTCTATCCAATCTTTAAATGACGCAATGCTGCCACCTGGAGCTTGTTTCTCTCTCTCCCTCATTTGCGTGCGTGCGTGTGTGTATACACACACACACACACACACACACACACACACACACACACACACACACACACACACACACACACATATATATATACACATACATATATATACATATATTACAGATTGGTAAAGGGCAGAGAGCTCCAGTCCGACTCAGACGCCAGCAAGGTGGAGGTGGAGTACTGGTTTGGGCTGGTATCATCAAAGATGAGCTTGTGGGGCCTTTTCGGGTTGAGGATGGAGTCAAGCTCAACTCCCAGTCCTACTGCCAGTTTCTGGAAGACACCTTCTTCAAGCAGTGGTACAGGAAGAATTCTGCATCCTTCAAGAAAAACATGATTTTCATGCAGGACAATGCTCCATCACACGCGTCCAAGTACTCCACAGCGTGGCTGGCAAGAAAGGGTATAAAAGAAGAAAAACTAATGACATGGCCACCTTGTTCACCCGATCTGAACCCCATTGAGAACCTGTGGTCCATCATCAAATGTGAGATTTACAAGGAGTGAAAACAGTACACCTCTCTGAACAGTGTCTGGGAGGCTGTGGTTGCTGCTGCACGCAATGTTGATGGTGAACAGATCAAAACACTGACAGAATCCATGGATGGCAGGCTTTTGAGTGTCCTTGCAAAGAAAGGTGGCTATATTGGTCGCTGATTTTTTTTGTTTTGTTTTTGAATGTCAGAAATGTATATTTGTGAATGTGGAGATGTTATATTGGTTTCACTGGTAAAAATAAATAATTGAAATGGGTATATATTTGTTTTTTGTTAAGTTGCCTACTAATTATGCACAGTAATAGTCACCTGCACACACAGATATCCCCCTAAAATAGTTAAAACTAAAAACAAACTAAAAATTACTTCCACAAACATTCAGCTTTGATATTAATGAGTTTTTTGGGTTCATTGAGAACATGGTTGTTGTTCAATAATAAAATTATTCCTCAAAAATACAACTTGCCTAATAATTCTGCACTCCCTGTACACAGTTCGCGCGATTGCAAAGTGAAAGCAAAAAACAAGCGCAAATTCAAACGCGATTTCAATATGTCACATATTGACAGTGGCTCACCGATGCCAATGACATAATTACCCAGCTACATTTCTGAAAGAATGCAAAAGCATTGACATATATTTTTCCTTCCTACAATAGCCCGACGGGTAGGGCAGAGATAGATTTTGGTAGCCCGACTGGAAAAATCGCTAGCCCCGGGACGTCGGGCTGGCAATATTGCGAGCCCTGTATCTGATTGAGGAATCACTCATCTTTGGAAAAGAGAGTTTATTACAGAGAAATGGTTCTTTCCAAAATAAAAGCTATACTATCCGCTTCTTCTGGGCTATATTCTCAGCAGCATAAACATATCAGGTCCCCATAAGGAGAATCATGTGCTAACGGCTGTCTAAATGACTCGGGTAAAGTTTGAAGCATGCATGCTTGTCGTTTTTGTCTGCTTCCACTTGTCTTTGCACTAGGATGATGTCGGCGTAAATGTGCAGTCATATTCGTCGTGTTCCCACTAGTGCTTTCAGGTTAATCTCGTTGAAATGACCTTAACGCCACAACACGGCAAATCTCCGTTAACGAGCTACCCCTGATCGCCCTGTGCGTGGGGCTGGATGGCCAACACGTTAACGAGCTAACTGCGCTAACACACTAGTTCCCACCCATGTAATTGAACATTGCGTGGCACATCCAACATACTGTTTTACTTTAGTCCATGACGCGCTTACCTTCAGGGTCATACGTCACATGAAAACCAAAATAATTTCAACCGCCAGATCTGAATGAGGGTGGGGGAGGTTCAATTTGCCACGTTGCAAGGAGAGCTTAACTTCTGTCTCGCTAGCTTGCCCTGCGCTCTTCCTTCTGATGATGCTGTCTGTGTTGAGCGCTCAGTGGATCTGCGCTCGACAGTGCAGCCTAGGCGGAGTAGTCGAACGCAGATTCACTGAGCGCTCAACACAGACAGCATCGTCAGAAGGAAAGTTGATAAAATAAATTACAAATTTTGTATTGTTCAATACATATGCGTACCGAACCGAAAGCACTGTATCGAACGGTTCAATATCGATACGAATATCGTTGCACCCCTTAGATAGATATATATATATATATAATATTCCGCAACTCTGAAAGTCTCTGTGTGGTGTCTGTGAAGGTTCTCAGTCATTCAGGTCATCGTAGTCAAAGGAGCTTGCAAAGAAAAGCGTCTGCTAAGTTGCTTGAAGACGTTTCACCTCTCATCCGAGAAGCTTCTTCAGTTCTAAGGTTTATGTCTAGGGGCAGTGGCCCCTAGAGACAAAGCACGTACAAACTCCAAAACACATTTCTAGCATTAACTAAACTTCCAAAACAGAGCTACCTAGATCACTTAAGTTACACAATTGAAAACATATCTGTATTGTTTGTGTATTTATACACGCAAATCCAGCATGTCCAAATTAACACTGTCGGATTTGATTTCAACACTATTAAAGTGTCTATATGGGTCCACACCAGAGAGTGTTAATTTAACTCTTTTTAGAGAGTTGGTACGTTAACTCTGATTTAGTGTTAAACACCAAATCTGTCTGGAGTTGATAATTTAACACTTGGTGTTAAGAGTTTATATATTAACTCTCAAAGAGCATTTTAGTTTAACTACGTAAGAGTTATCTTCTAATTCATTCTAAAAAGCGGGAATTTTACTGTTCTGAACTTCTAGAAATTTCTTTTGGAAATAAACATTTACTAAAAAGATGCAATGGTTTTTGAAAAACATTTATTCTGAACTGTGCACCACAATTTCAAAACATTTTCTGAAAGATGTAACAGTATACATGTTATCACTTTCATTAGAATTGTGTTTATCTAAAGGTCTGACATAGGTGAGCTGGTAAATGCAAATAACAGCATTCTCATCACTTATTTCTTCAATACAATATGCATGTCCTTCATTCATCCCTTTGTGGAACTTCAGCGCACTTCTGCTCTCCCCCATATTCCATCTTCACAAGCATATCCTGTGCGGAGATTGAATAAAAATTAGTTGACACTAATTAATGGCACAAATAATCCAGTAAACAATTGCAGCACAGTAAAAAAAAAAAAAAAAAGGAATCCTCTTTGAGCCGTTACTTGTGTAAAGTATTTTCCCAAAGGACAAAGACACAGGCAACAGGTACTACTGAACTAAATGTAAAACCTCAACCTTTTTCATTTTTACCTAAACCGTGTGCACAAAACTCTGGAGTGATCTATGCTAATGTAGAATCCAGTCAGGACGTCTGCTACTGCTGTTTGCTCGGTTTTTTTTTATTTTTTTTATGGGCGATCGTTTTCAGGCTTCAAGTAGCACCATCATACCAACATTTCACATTCTAGACATTGTTTTAGGTGTATTTGACCAAAAGTTTGACTGAAAATTCACATGCAAGCTTTTTTTCAAGGCTGTGGTATTTGCCCGCAAACAATACCTTTCAGCTAGCTAAAACAGAATATTATGCTATCACCGAGCAACATGGCTAATGCCTTTCACACAGCTTTGTCTCAACTCCAAAGAGCCACAGAAGTAAAAGCTCATAATAATAATTGAAACAATCTTTGAAAAAATGACTTACCAAGCATGGCAAACAACTCAAATATGTAGAGCAAAATGCTCTGAAACGGCTTCACTTCAGCTTCGATTGGAGCCGTGCTGGGGGCGGAGTCTGTGAATTCACTCTATTGGTGTCATACCCCCTGTAGGAGTTCAGAGTTAAGAGGTCAAGAGTTAATGTTTCCATTGTAACACCTCCAGATTTGACAGAGAAACACTCATTTTTAACACTCGATTTTAACTACTATCATTTTACACCTCAGAGTTACATTAAAAGAATGTGACTCTGCTTAGAGTAAAATTAACTCTACGTTTGCAAGAAGACTATTAACACCAAAACATTTAACACTTTTGAATTTGCTGTGCACGCACACACACACACACACACACACACACACACACACACACACACACACAGTGGGGCAAAAAAGTATTTAGTCAGCCACCGATTGTGCAAGTTCCCCCACTTAAAATGATGACAGAGGTCAGTAATTTGCACCAGAGGTACACTTCAACTGTGAGAGACAGAATGTAAAAAAAAAAAAAAAAAATCCATGAATCCACATGGTAGGATTTGTAAGGAATTTATTCGTAAATTAGGGTGGAAAATAAGTATTTGGTCACCTCAAACAAGGAAAATCTCTGGCTCTCACAGACCTGTAACGTCTTCTGTAAGAAGCTTTTCTGTCCCCCACTCGTTACCTGTATGAATGGCACCTGTTTGAACTCATCATCTGTATAAAAGACACCTGTCCACAGCCTCAAACAGTCAGACTCCAAACTCCGCCATGGCCAAGACCAAAGAGCTTTCAAAGGACACCAGGAAAAGTATTGTAGACCTGCACCAGACTGGGAAGAGTGAATCTACAATAGGCAAGCAGTTTGGTGTGAAAAAAATCAACAGTGGGAGCAATCATCAGAAAATGGAAGACATACAAGACCACTGATAATCTCCCTCGATCTGGGGCTCCACGCAAGATCTCATCCCGTGGGGTCAAAATGATCATGAGAACGGTGAGCAAAGATCCCAGAACCACACGGGGGGACCTGGTGAATGACCTGCAGAGAGCTGGGACCAAAGTAACAAAGGTCACCATCAGTAACACACTACAACGGCAGGGAATCAAATCCCGCAGTGCCAGACGTGTTCCGCTGCTGAAGCCAGTGCATGTCCAGGCCCGTCTGAAGTTTGCCAGAGAGCACATGGATGATACAGCAGAGGATT